CATTCTAAATTAGTCATGACTGTTAAGGGTAAATATTTACATTTTCAATATGTATTTTTTTCAGTGCATGAAGCTAAAATGAGAAATCCCCATGATACTTGACCCTTGTGTATAACTAGTTGTCAGAGCATTTTTATACACATTATCTGATTAAAATTTCAGCCAAGAACCAAGGTTAGCAAGAGTGTTATTTTCTCTGGTAGTAGATAATGAAGATCAATGTATTCACCCATGTATTCCCTTTCATCTCATTTGCTAGCTGGGGCAGAGGCTCTATGTCCACCCAAATCCATTCTTCTCTTTCCCCAGGGCACAAAATCCAAACACAACAAATTTAAACAGAGATGTTTGCTTTGTTTTCTTTGGATTACAGTTCTTTGAATCTCAAAAATAACTATTGGTGTGGACCACCATTAGGTGGTAATGCTGAAGACTAAATTATTAAAGACCTTCTGTAGTTATCAGGAGGGACAATAAAAACTTTTAATTCATCAAGCAAACAGAAGACCAAAATAGCAGAATACTCTGCAGGCACGATACCAAATTTTCTGCGAAGTCATTTGACAACATTTTACATCGGTTATAACATTTTAAAAATACTGTATCAACGGACAGAGAGCAGGTATACATTACAGGGCTAAGGAAACATTTCAGAAAAAAAAATTATGCTATGAGAAATGTGAAAACAATTTAAAGCTATCATTAAAAGAGCACACATGGTTTCCTCTGAAAAGCAAACTCAAGGGATTTTGAGGTTAGGACATAACTGAATTGTCTGTGGGAATCATAAGAGCCACTAAACTATATTGATCATTTAAAAAATTTTTTTTCAACGTTTTTTATTTATTTTTGGGACAGAGAGAGACAGAGCATGAACGGGGGAGGGGCAGAGAGAGAGGGAGACACAGAATCGGAAACAGGCTCCAGGCTCCGAGCCATCAGCCCAGAGCCTGACGCGGGGCTCGAACTCCCGGACCGCGAGATCTGTGACCTGGCTGAAGTCGGACGCTTAACCGACTGCGCCACCCAGGCGCCCCAAAACTATATTGATCATTTTAAAGAATTATTTCAAGCTTAAGTCGCCCCTCCTTTCCTGTTTTGCTGCTTCCTACCTCTTACTCTCCCTTTTTTTCTTTCCCAAAAAGTTGGAGGAAGGAGAGGGAATGAGCTTCTAAAGCCTGGGGGGGATTTATCTTCTACTTACTTGTGAAAACCTAATTGAACATTAATTTCTTTGACTTCAAAGATTAAAAATTTATTTCTTTGGTTGGAAAACTAGATAGCTCATTTATTTGGACCTTCGAAACATAGTACTTTCAATTTACTGTTTAATAAATTATTATATATTATATATTATATATTCTATGTCATCTTGGTCTCTAAAGAGGAGAAATGAAAAGGAAATGAGAAGAAGGTCAGAAAGGTCTGAGGGAGGATGAAGAGGGAGAACTAGTGCCCAAATCCCTGGAATTTTAGGCTCAGCATTACTTTCCCATCAGGGTTTTGCTGGGTACTGTTTCCTTCCCTCCAGCACAACTGTTAGCAAGAGAGGGCTAGTGAAAGAAGCCAGTTCCTACTTTCTACGGACCTACAAACAGATTTTGATAATAATATGACACCCCTAATGCCCTGAATAACTTCTCGCATGCAAGATTCTTGCCTTAGAGATATACATCATTGTGAATCATAAGGATTGCAAATCGTTACGATCACATTTTACAGAGGAGGACACTGGGCTCAGAAAGGTGAGTGATTTGTGATCCAGGCCTCCAGCTCCAATTTGCACAGACCTAACATACTCAAAAACCAATTGTACATAATAGCCCACCTCTGTTGTCCTAGCCAGAGTGTCTGGGACCACGTAGGAGTGGATGAAGCCACCGTGGAAGGTTTTACTAGGTTGGGATGTCTAGGGCCTTGCCATATTATAGCTTTAAAATGATACCACTTAGGCACTTGCTTACTTTGTCTACACTCGGGCCAGCACAAAAGCCCAGGTTAAAAAAAAAAAAATCAGCATTTATCTTTTTGGTGTATGTATCAATGGGTAAAGACAAAGATCATAATGATGGGCTGAAACTAATAGATATAATATCACAGAGAAGATTATATCTTAGATTTTATTAAGTTTGTATTAAGCTGCCATTTAAAAAATACGGCAAATCAAACAGATTGAGGCATATACATTTAAAAAAACAGCATCCCTAGGAAAGGGGGGGGATGGATGAAATAGGTAATAGGGGTTAGAGCGTGCCCTTGTCATAATGAGCACTGAGTACTGAGTAGAAGTGTTGAATCACTGTATTGTGCACCTGCAACTGATATGACACCATATATTAATACCTATACTGGTATTAATGACCTAACTGGTATTAGGTATTAATTAATACCTAACTGGTACTAAAATTAAAAAAAGCTTAAAAAAAAGATCCTTGAAAGACTGAACAGGAAGGTACAATACAATAGATAAGAAAAAAATAAAAATAACAATCCTCTCCTTCCAGAAAAACTAGATTGTAAAACAAAATCACTTGAACGCAACTTTTGGGCAGTGATTTTTCACTGGTTTTCCTTAGAGACTAGTTCAGTGATTTCAAATGGAATATTTAAAAGCTCTCTACATAGATCATACTACTAATTTTCAATGAACTACAATGCAAAATGTTTATCATTACAACAGAATATTATTTTTTAAAACGTTTTTCACCGTTCATATTTCTTTTCAGTCGCCCACTCTTACTGGGTTAAATAAGGTTAGTAGCCATTAGGAAGTCATCCTATACTACTGAATGCCTTAAAACGATAATTGGGAGAATACAGGCTGACCTAGAAAGAATACATTCCCACATTTTCTTTTCTACCACCACCTGTGGTTTGTATGTTGTGCCCACAAATAATCACAAGCTTACATTGTCCTATCCAGAGGTGGGAGGAGTGTCCCAGCTGGAGGCTGATCTGTGTAGGAGAAGATTCTAGCATAAAGGCCCTCCAAAGGAATCCACTCAAGCCTCATACCAGATTTGGGAGGGCTGGTTTTACCAGCCTAAAGCTGGCACAGGAAAGACACCACTAAGCAGTCACGTGGCGGGGACAGTGGGGATACAAATCCTACCTTGTGACTCTGGTGGGACTCTCCTTCCATCCTTAGTTTACAATCTTAAGCTCAGCTTACAATCTGAAACATTCAGACACACCTCAGCTACCCGAGTGAGGCCACAGAAAGGTCAGTTCTTACCTTCTACTCTTCCAGGGTTTATGGCTGAAAGCATAAGAGACTGTTAAAAACTGAGAACAAACTGAGGGTTGATGGGGGGTGGGAGGGAGGGGAGGGTGGGGAATGGGTATGGAGGAGGGCATCTGTTGGGATGAGCACTGGGTGTTGTATGGAAACCAATTTGACAATAAATTTCATATATTGAAAAAAATAAAACAAAACAAAACAAAACAAAAAACAAAGTTTATGGCTGGATCACAGATTGACCTTCCTCCACTGAGTGAATGAATTGAGAGAGAGTGGGGGGGAAGGAAGGGAAGGAGGAGGAAGAGAGGTAAGAAGGAGGTGAAGAAAGGTAGGAAGGAAGGAAGGAAGGAAGGAAGGAAGGAAGGAAGGAAGGAAAAGGAAAGTGGCTTGACCTTGAAGAGATTGGACCTCCAGTGCCAGGAAATTTGGAAGGCATATTCTCCAGAGTGCTTATTTTATTTCCAGCATTACATACAACCCTTAGGGAAGGCTATTAATTGATCTGTGTATTAAATTACACTCTTTCATACTCTAGAGGCCTGAAAAAGTTAATTTACCATTTGAATGGTATGAATGATGAATACTTACACCAAGGCCAGGCACTTTACAATACTCGACAGGCATTTAGCCTTTTTTATTGTTTTGGTGTGCTTTATTTTTTATTAGTATCTATGGAACAGGAAAATAAAATAGTTATGTTCTGTTGGGGATAGCAGGACAGCTCCTCGACAGTGAAAGATGCTTCAACATAGGGCCCTGGAGGAAGGAGAGACGATCAGAAAAGAAAAGAGAGGGAGGGAGATGAGGCCAAATCCCTAGCCTCCTGTGCACCTACCCTTTTTATTCGAGATGGGGTAACTTTCTTTCTCACAACCTTGGATTTCTTTAACCCCCATGCCTGTCCTATCAATGCTTTATGAGCTGTCATGTGGGGGCTAGAATGGGATTCTGAAAATGAACAGCTGATTTTTATTCCTCTGGATATATCAGTTGCCCGGAGCACTGAAATCATGGGAATTGGTTTTGAAATGAAATGTCACTTGTGGAAGACACGTGCATTATAATTTGTTTAATTTAAACAATGCGGGGGGACGGCCATCAGAACTGCATTTCATAGGCTAATGAATGTTTATTGGACTTTGGATACTATAGAACTGGGACTTCTGTACTGAGGGGGCGTGATTACATAGCGATCTTGCAAGACGAATACAGATCAGCATGAAAACAGCTGTGCCCTTTAGCTATTTTGCAGGCAAATATATTTAATCACATAAGGTAACACTGGATGTGGCGGTAAGGATGCCTTTCTGTTCCAGAAAATGATTGGTGCGGAACCATCGGATTCCACGTCTCCATAAAGAGAGGGTGTGATGAGGGAGCGAGTGAGGGAAGAGCCCAGGCAAAAAGCGTTTTTTTAAATAGATCCGACACAGTGAATGAAAATACAGTGAATAAAGGAGTCACTGGGCACAGAAGAAAACAGAACGAAATTTCCAAAGTAGCTCTCGGTGAGCCAAACTTCCAGACACGCAACACACGATCCATGTGAGAGAAAGGCTTGCAGATTGCCAAAGGCCTGCGGTTAACCACAGCGAATGTTGGCTCTGGTCCCTCCGGAGACCCCAGCAATTGGTTGAAATAAGGGAGACTAGCATTCAGGGCGCGCGTGGGGCTCCAGGGCGTTCCAGAAGTCTAGAGCCCGCGTCCCTCAGTGCTGCCTGCCGGCCCAGCAAGTGGGCCACCCCTCCGGGAGCATTCTTCTCTGCTCCCCACCTACCTGGCTTACGCCCCAGGGGGGAGGGAAACCGAGAGCCAGGTGCGACCCAGCAGGGGGAGTGGGTGAGCTGGTCCCAGGGCAGCCCGCATGTGTCCTCGAGCGTGGGTGTGGGGTAATTTGGGTGGGAACAAAGTGGAGGCTACCGCGACGCGACCGAGTCCCGCGCCTCGCTGGCGGGGTGTGTGCAGAAAGAGCGAGGATAAATAGGAGGCTCCCTCCTCCCAGCCCCACTCCCGGAGCCGGCCGGCCGCCCGCCCCGGGTGTTTGCCCGCCCTGTGGCCGGGGTGCCAGCCTGGGGAGTAGTTTCGTTTCCTGCTGGCCCGAGAGTAGTTTCCAGGCCCGCCCTCGGGCGCCCGCGGCCCGGGAAGGGGCGCAGGAGGAGGCGGGGGACTGGGTCAGGGGCTGCCCGGCCCCGCAGCGTGGGGTTGATGGACCGGGCCGCCCCGGCCGGCGGCGCCAGCTCCCTGCCACTGCTCCTGGCCCTCGCCCTGGGTAAGTGGCGCGCCGGGCACTGGAACCCCAGGAGGAAAGTCTGGGGTGGAGTGGCCTGGAGGGCGAACCCTGATCCGCGCGGGCCTTTGGACCCCAGGGCGCACTGGGGGCTGCAGCTCAGGGGCCTGTCGGAGCACCGGGACCATCCGGCTAGCGCTGGGTTAAGGCTTGGGCACTTGGCACCTAAGGCTGCACCTGTCGGGGTTTCCGGAGGGTGGAAGGATCCCGTGGGCCCGGCTGCTGGGGCTGCAGACGTGAGCTCAAGTGCCGTCGGGGCAGTGGGGGCGCCTTGACCTCCCTCGAGTGAGGCGCGTAGGAGGCCAGTCCAGCAAAGAAGGAGCAGGAAAGACCGGCCGGAGAAGGACCTTTGGAGGGAAGCAGAGAACCGAGCAAGGTGGTGAGCAGTTTGGCAGGTGTGTGCGCGCCCTGGGCGTGTGCGAGAGTTAGAGACTTAGGGGGATGGCTCCAGGAGAGCCAGGCATAGATTCTGACACCCAGATCTTGTCAGGGAAGTTGGGAGGGGCTGGAGGAGAAAAGGAGACAACTTCTGAGACCTCAGTCTCCTGCTGCTCATAGGGAAATGGCATATTCTGCCGAGGACACTATCTAAGAAAGGCAGAGGTGTTTTGCTTGGAATATATTATTTCCTATTTTCAGAAGAAAGTGGGGAGAGAAAACTTTTCTTCGTTGAGAAAAATTACACTTGGGCTGTTAGGTTCAGGAGCACTGGGTGCTTTGCTGGTGAAGAAGGGTGGTGGGGATGGGGGACGTCTCTGTAACTGAAGTGTCTACGTGATTATCACTCCTGCCTTCAAGCCTGGGAAGGACTGGAGGGGTCCATTTCTCACGTGGAGGGGAAAGAGGTGGAATCTATATGGACACTTTGATTTGGCTGTGGTCCTTGGAGTAAGAGAGGTGGCTAGGTGTCACGACCTCGGTTGGAAGTGCATCTGACTTAGGGCCGTGATTAGAGAGAAGGGACTAACTGATTTAAGAAACCCAGCAGAGGAAGAAGTCGGTAACCATGTGATCGGGGCATCATGTGGAGTCTGAAGAAGAGCAGTGGGGGTAGGGAGTTAGGCTCAGAAAACGGTGCTGATGCTTTGGACGGCATCACTCAGATGAAGCAGGTGTTTTCTTCCTCCACCTTGTCTGGACTGTCCAACAGAGTATTGACTGAGAATCTGTTACCATCAGCCAGATGTTAGAGTATATGGAGATAGGGGTGGGAAGAGGGCTCAAGAGATTCCTAAGACATGAGTCTTGCCTTCAAGATGTTATGCTGAATTTGGGAATGCCAGACCCACCGGTAGGAAACAGTAAGAGAAAAATTCATAAAACCAGGGAAGGGCTGGCTCACCAGCGACAGACGGAGTAGGGGAAAAAGCTGTGGTAAAGGACATGAGTGGGTGCTTCGATGCTTGGGTAACATTTGAAAATAGGGAAGAGAGGCCAATGATAGAAGGTGCGGTGTGGGTCGAGATGGGGGAGCTGTGGGCCCGAGGACCTGATTGTCTGACAGGCAAAATCCGGGGGTGAGGCGAAGCAAGACCTAGGTGAGCGCACTGTGCCAGCAGAAAGGTTACGGTAGGAGGGGTTGATAGACATTCTTCCCCCTGTGCTATCACATCATGCTTTATTTTTTCCTCAAAACATGTCGCAAGGCAGAAATGGAAACAAGAGCAACAACAAAACTCTACTCCGGTGCTGTTGTACCCTCAGGATAACCTGGTTGTACATCTGCCCTGTTGAATGTTCGGTTTAGGGAACTGAATCTAGGCTCCAGATCCCCTAAGCTCCACTGCTTGCAAAATTCCGAAGGATATAAGTGGTTGGCGTCAGCGTTCCCGTAAAGTGATTCTAGTTCTCTCGCACACGCTTAGCTTAACTTTTCGGTCTCGTCCCTAATTTAAATCACATGTTCATGTTACTTACTTTTTGAACAAAATGTGAGCAGTGCACTGTGTGCTGCACGAACGTGTGTGTGACTGTGGAAAGTGCCTTGAGAACCCTGTGTGTGTGTGTGTGTGTGTGTGTGTGTGCGTGTGTGACTGTGGAAAATGCCTTAAGAACTGGCCTGGAGCAGACATGAGACCTGGTTCCAGCTGGGCCATCCTGTGACTCTGAGATATCTATAAATGACAGCTTTCTGGACATTGTTTTTTTCATTTGTAAAATGAAGGGGTTGCTTTAGATGAGCCTACGGTCCTTAGCAACATGACATTGTACTCATCTTTAACTAACATTTCCACTGGGAAGTTTAAGAGAATTCTTTGTACAACACTGTTTCACTTCCAGTCACTTTGTAAAGGGATCTTTGTTTCATGCAAACTTTGTAATAACAGAGAGAATCATGGATGCATATTTCTTTGAGAAAGACATTTCTTTGGGAAAGAGGCAACAACCGTGCTTAAAGTATTCTTTGTGTTATCTCAAAGCAATCAAACTATTCCTTTTTAAATTCTGTTTTTGAATTCCTTCCTCTCATCCAATTTCCGTGTAAAACTAAAACTGAGGGGCGCCTGGGTGACTCAGTCGGTTAATCAGTCCCACTCTTGATTTCGGCTCAGGTCATGATCTCCTGGTTCTGTGGGATCGAGCCCCGAGTGTGGCTCTGGCTCCTCACTCTCAGCATGGAGCCTGCTTGGGACTCTCCCTACCCCTCTCTCTCTCATCCCCTCCCCTCTAAATAAATAAATAAATAAATAAATAAATAACTTAAAAAAAATACCAAAAAACTGAAATCATAACCAGTGAAAAAGATAAAAAAAAAAAGTTACCTTTTAAAAATTGAGTTTTAAAATTAAAAATATGTTCCCCTCCTCATTAGAATCAAACACATTGGTGTTTGTAAGTTGGTTTCAGTTCTGCTTGAGAATACGGGCCTTCATGCCATTTACCTACCTTCCAAGTTATAGAGCAGGTAGGTGACAGCAAGCAAAATTCCCATTAAACAGATGCAGTAACTGAAGCCCCGAGTGCTGTAAGATTTTGGGCTTTTCCTCTTAAGTCGTACTTCCGGTTTAGAAGAACGGGAGGAGTGTTTTTTTTTTTTTTTACTTTTCAGAATCCCAGGTTTTGCACATAAGCAGCTGTTGCTAATTGATTTTTGCTATTGCCCGATTCTCAGTTGTTGTGTGGAAATTCCCAAATAGTTCTGGAAGATCCCACCAAGGCAGGCCTGCTTTGTCATGCCCACAGGAGGTGCCCCTGCTGCTGCTTTGGCCTGCCAGTGTCTGTGCTGAAGTCAAAGGCCCTGAGGGTAGAGAGTACCTACGTCTGTCCCAGAGTCTCTGCTGACACCACTCGTCCCAGCACCCCCGTGTTCCTCAAGTCCTCAGAGAACGCAGCCTGAGAACCTCATCTTGTTTTTTCTCGCCCTTTTACTGTCGTCCGCTCGTGCCAGGACATAGACATGAGTGTCACGAAGAGGACAGTCAGGCGGATAGTCAGAGGCACGGGCACCAAGCTTGCACCTTGAATCAGCTCTCGGCACCACCAGCTTGGCTTGTAAACGTCTCCATTAGGACTTAGCGTCTTCCCAGGAGGGTCCAGACAAGCCAGAATCTAGGCTGCATGCAGTTGGGTCTAAGCCATGGTCCTGATACGCTTCCAAAATTGTTATGACAGACTCCTGGATCCGCAAGGAATCTAAAGACCAGTGTATCAGGGTCAGGAGGGCTCCAAAGTAATATGTAAGAGGAAAGCAATCTGATTAAAATGGGTATGCTTTGTAATGCTACTAACAGCTAGCTTTCCCAGGCATATTAGTATCTTAAAGAAGGAATCTTGGCAGCTCAAATGACTCTCTAATTGCTAAAACTTGAAGCAGTCAGAGGGTTTTTCAGATGGTTGGAGAGAGAGGGGGTATTTCTTCTTAATTCAGATCAGTTAGGCAATAACCTACTTTGATTGTCAGCAAAGTCCACTCAAATAGCCACGAAGTACTTTTGCTCATTCTTTGCATTTTTTGAGCATATGTAGCATGTTATTTGGCTGACCTGTAGAGTAGAGGCACTGAGTCCAAAATGGTGATGAAAAGTATAACAAATGTTTGTGTTCAGGCTTTTTATTGAAATGTGCCTGAGTTGGTAGTATATTATTAATACAACATTTCCCCCTTTCCAAAGTCATGGATTTATTCATTCATGTAGCCTTATTTACTCTGGGGGGAGGGTGCATAAAGAGCACCTGGCACATAGTAGGACCTCAAAACATATTAGTTACTTGGGTGGGTGAATGCAAGTGTCTGTTGGTGACAATGCCCAGTCACTGAAAAAACGGCAGATTCGGGAACGAAAGCTGTTCCATTTCTTGTTGGCAAAACACGTGCACAATCCAGAGATGCAGAAAGACTTGTCTCTTTGTCTCTTTTTACTTGGGACTTGCTTCCAGCAGCGCTAGAGATGCTTTCACAAAAGGACTTGTGTTCTGCCAGTAGGAAGTTTACTTCTGTTTCTTACGTGCTGTATGGGCGGCTCAGAAATGCTATAGGTCTCTCACATGTTTGCTTCGAGGGCAGATCTCATCAGTCAAAGGAGTTTTTAAAACAAGTGTTTAGGGGCACCTGGGGGGGCTCAGTAGGTCAAGAGTCTGCCTTTGGCTCAGGTCATGATCTCATGGTTTGTGAGTTCGAGCCCCACGTCAGGCTCTGTGCTGACGGTATGGAGCCTGCACGGAGCCTACTTCGGCTCCTCTGTCTGCCTCTCTCTCTCTCTCAAAAATAAATGAACATTAGGGGAGTCTGGGTGGCTCAGTTGGTTAAGCGTCCGACTTCGGCTCAGGTCATGATCTCATGGTTTGTGAGTTCAAGCCCCACATTGGGCTCTGTGCTGACGGCTCAGAGCCTGGAGCCCGCTTCAGATTCTGTGTCTCCCTCTCTCTCTCTCTCTCTCTGTCCCTCTTCTGCTCCTGCTCTGTCTCTCAAAAATAAATAAATGTTAAAAAAAAATTAAAAAAAAAACATTAAAATAATGTTTAGGGGTGGCTCGGGGGCTCAG